GCGCATCTGGTGTAGTGGTATCATAGTACCCTCCCACGGTACTGACCGGGGTTCGATTCCCCGGATGCGCATTATATTATTACAATTTTTTGCCATATTATTAATATTTAGATCAGTCCCGTTTTCTTAGATCTGTCTAGGTTATCTAAATGCTTATCTTGGAATTGTTTCAATAAATATATACATTTTTATTTTATTTCACTTATCACTTAATATTACTAAATAATTTTACTTTATATTCAATTAATTTTTCCCCCTTCCAACTAGACATAATAATATAAGATATATCAGATATTAACTCGAATTTCGTGTATCAACAATAATCAACTAACTTATAATAAAATATCAGATATTAGCTCGAATTTCGTTTATCTGACTAATTATTTATTGGGAAATGTTACAGTCCCGTTAGGAAATTATTTCGTCCGTTAAATCATCATGTAACTGTCGTACATAGTTGATCCAATGATTACAAATCCTGATATGATGATTCCGTAACGAGACTGTAGAATCTCTCTCATTTAATATTAGTAAATAATTTTACTTAAGTCACTAACCATCAACTTTTTTGGGTATAAATAATCTAGCACACATATCCTAATTCCTAATCCATGAGATCAATCTCTTATTGGGAACTGCTTCAATTTTAGGGTTTTGGCCAAATTTTGACTGTAATAATAAGTGAGTCTTTTTCTATTAATTGATTGATGATAATAGAAAAACATTAATTAATATACATCTAGACTAAATAATTCATATGGATGTACAAGTAACATAGTAATGAATTACAAATATAAATGAATGAATAATTGAATTAAATAAATTGGTTGTTTTTTTCTCTCAAATTAATGGCTTTGTCTGGCAAAAATGGGTATTTGGCTAGTTAAAAACATGACAACATTATTCACATGGGCATGAAACAAACAGGCTGCTCCAAAAGGAGCCTTACAATCAATGCTATATGAGCACCTAACAATCTGAAAAAATTATTTGTGAGTATTACTGAATTATTTTTCCGGTTTTGCTATAAAGCCAACAGTTGGCTCCATAGTATAGTCAACCTTTTATATACAACAAATAAACCTACTATATTAATACATTTATATTAATGTTATTTAAGTAATTAAAGAATATGATAGGTTTACTTGTTGTATATAGAAGGTTGGCTTCACTATGGAGTCAACTGTTGGCTTCATAGCAAAACCGTTAATTTTCATGTCTGTCTTAGTTTTTTGTGTGGTCTTAATATATAGTAGTAAAAAATATTTTAGTCCCATATTATATTAATTTAGCTTATGATAAATTAATTTTCCCAAATTTGTTGAAATTTATTTTAATAGAATAAGCCAACAAACTATATATGTTTGCATGAACTTATTCTTATTCGTAATTTTTTATTTTTTTATTATTTTTTTTTTTTGTTGTTTTTGATAAAGTGGAATTCCTATTGGCAATTTTATTTTGAGATATTCATATTATTTTGGATATAAGAAATATGACTTAATCTCATTTATTCATATAAAATATTCAATGAAGTCACGTGTACATCTTCATAATTTAAGTGGCATGTCATGTAGTAAGTACTCCGATGGACATGTCTAAATAGTTCATTTATCTCATATAGTAGCATTTACAATGAAGTATATTATTTTTTCTAAATAGAAACTTAAGTAGGCAAGAAGAAAGTGTTTTTCATTCTTTAAACAAAGAATGTAACAAATCATTTGAAAAAATACAGATAAAAATACAGATTTATATATAAAACATCTCATTCTTTCCACTACGAAATTCATATTTACATTAAATACATAATAAGAAATATTTTTTCACTCTTTAGCTTTCTTTATACATCATTATTGAGATTGTTCGAGCCAAATCATACGTTGTGATCAACCTCGTGTTTGTGTAATAAATGAGAATATACGTTGTGATCAACCTCGTGTTTGTGTAATAAAATGAGAATAATTGAACTTGTGTTTTACAAACCGAACTGAGTTGCGATCGCTTAATAGCTTGGTTCGACTACGAGCTCTGCCTAACGTAGCAGCTCAGGGTAATAAAAATTGTTGGCTACGCCATTTAGTATAGATAGACGTGTCTATTGGTTCGGAATCATCAGTTCATGTGATTTGGTTCCCTTGAACAGAAAACTGCCCGACTAATCGGCTGTCTGGTTCCAATTTGAACCCAATGATTCAAAATTGCTCCCGGAATCGCTATATTTTTTATTATTTTTACATCCGATTTTGGTGCAAAACCTCCAACAATCCAAGATGATCTCAATCAATCAAAATAATAGACCGTTCAATTTTTTGAAATTTTCAAACTTAACAGTTTGAAAAAATATATTGACGAAAGCGGAACCAATTTATCTGTGTCAAACACACATGAACCAACAGTTTTCGGGTCCAGTTCACCGCGTTGAACATGTCTAAATATGGATGACCACAAGTTTATAACTCATGTAGTTTATCTTTGGATTTAGAAAATCTCTTTTGCATATTCCATACAGAGCATGAGAAAGTATGTCAAAGCTTCGTTTCACATGAAGGAAATTAAAAATAAAAAATCAGTACGTAAAAACCAAAATTGCAAACCCGTAAACAACTGGATCGGCTTATGCTGACTGTAGCAACTTCTTGTAATCCTGAAACGTACCGTTGAAAGGTGTCACTTTGCCATCAGAGACTGCCCACAATTGTTCCACACTTCCAGAGATCAAGTGCTCGTCGTGACTCACCTACAGACGACATACAAATACAAATCACCACAGACAGTAAAA